AAACCGGTTTCCATTGTCTTCTGATGTCTTCCCCGTACTGATCGTGATCTTTACCTCTTCTCCACAGATGATCTCATCGGCCATTGGTCTGCTACCAATATTTTCCCTATACACCGTTTTGCTCTGCGTGAAAATGAGCTTCTGACCTTTTAGCACAGTTTCTATGTTACGGTCCGCATATTTCTTTTGGACATCATATAAATGCTTCCTTTTTTCACGGACTTCTTCAGGTTGGTGTTGAGACACTCTTATTGGGGACTTCTTATCCTTGAGAATTTTAATGTGTCTCATCACAATGTCCTTATGTAATTTATTTACAAACTGGACACAGACTGGCCGAGGATATTTCCTATGTTTGTCGTATTCCCCCATTCGGAACACTTTATATATCTGTAGGCTATCAACAGTCTCTGCCGGTATCTCCATCTCTACTGCAAACACGTTACTAATGATCTTGACAAGGTTTTCAGGATTTTTTTATTTCGGGCGCCTTTTCGTCTACTCCACTCACAATGTTATTGTCTTCTATTGCTCTAGATCTTAGCTCTAGAATCTGTTCACTTTGAGTCTTTACACAATACTCCAGTCGAACTATGTAATCTTTCATTCGGCTAAGTTCTCTTTCCATCTTCTTCTGTTTTTCCTGCAGTTCAGTGGTTATATATATCGTATCGTTCGCCTGTTCTTGTACGTTTTCTAATCTCTCCTGAATGCCATGTTTTCCTCTAATGTCCTTGGTGACTTCGTCTAGATGGCGACCTTGTCCATCAATCCTTAGTAGAAGGTTTGCAAGAGTATTTTGTATATTAGTTATACTGTGCATGACATCTCTCATCTGAAAATTTTCACATTCCTTTGAAATTTCTTCATCACTAGTACTGGTGTTAATGGTATTAGTGTCCATATCATCGAGCGCCCTCTTTTTAGACTGGGTCAATTGACTAATTGAGTTAATGTTTTAACATTTAACGAAAAAACTGCCTAAAAATACAAAGAAGCAAGATTTATGAGGGACTATTTCTTGTGGTGTAAGGATGTTTAGCAGATAATTCTGCAAATCTGCACATTTATTAAATTTGATATCTTCGGATTGTAGCCTCACATATTTTTACTCAGAGAATATTTTCCGTTACGATATTGCTAGGAATATTTAATAAAGGACTTATTATATATTTCTAGAACAAGTTTTACACCTTCCTTCAACAAACTTTGCTAAAGAAAGATATGTCAAATAAGTCAAGATAAAATTTATACCATTTTTTGCCCGTAAATCTCATATTTTGACCAATATTTCAAAATTTACATCACTGACCCCAACTTTTTCTTTCATTATTTAAAAGTAATCGATACGTGTGACTGATCAGCACTTACGTCGTAAAAAGCTTGATTAAAGAACATGTTTAATTGCCTATTTACTTTTTGATACCAAAATATGTTACTTTTTATTGCAAAAAGGTCACACAATGATTTGCGCGCATCAATTTGCAAGATTTTTGCAATGATGAATTTAATATTACTCAAACTATTTTACGTAAAATAAAATAATATTTATTGCCATGGTTACATCTGATAAAAATGATAACGGTTAAAGTAATAAACCAAAGAGCTAAAATGTAAGTGCAAAAAGGTCAACTTCATTGTACCGTAGATCAGTAAGATGCACACTGACAACTTATTTTCTCTGCAATTTTGAGTTATGCCATTTGATTACTTATTCAAAATACACTTCTAAAAAAAATAACATATTTCACGAGTGACATACCTTAAAATCATACAGTTTTTTTTTTCAGATTTACGTTGCGAATGGCAAAGTAATAGCAATGCACTAAAAACTGTGCCATATTGACCAATTTCTCAAAATGGAATCATTCGATCATTAAACCACAATTCTACGTGTATATAATATTATGTCAATTCAATATTCAAATCACGGGGTGATGGGGCAATTTAAGGTATTAAGTAAAAATGTTCATCTTTGCAATTCCATTTGCATCTCTGCACTTTTATTACAAGAAATGCCAATTTAAGAAACACTGTATTTCTTAGTTTTTAAATAATAAAGAGTCACTAGCAAATCTATTTAAATAGCTTTAGAATTTTATTCTAATTTACTTTAAAACATGGTAGCGTATATATGGGTAATGTAAATATCGGTAACGTAAATATTGTTCTAAGTTTTATCGTAATTTTAATTTTGTTTTTTTTTTAAATTACTTCACTTTTAATTAAAGACATATTCTATTGCTTGAAAGTCAGGAAGTTGACCCATGTGAAAACAATTTGATCTCTAACTTCATTTTTTAATAAATGCTAACACATAAATATCGATGAGTTTTTAACCATTGGAGAGAAAAACGGGGGCTATATTTGATGAATAGAGATTAACTGTATCTTTTTTACCATTCCATATAATAGAAGAAATATTCATATGTTAAAAAGTTACAACTTAGTCCTGCTGAGTTATTTCAGCAAACTTCAAAGTACTTTTAGATTTCCAAATGGAAAAAATAAGTTTTGCGACGAAATTACAATTTGATAAATATATTGAAACTTTTTTTTAAATTGTGACATGCATTTGTGTGAAGGGTATGATATTCAGATAGTACATGTACAGCTCAATTTTAGAACAATCTTACTAAGAAACAGACCTGTCATGATTTCAAGATTTTAGGTTTAAAATGAAAAAAATACACAATGATCGGCAAAAGTAAGGTAAATATCGATTCTGCTATAAAATGCGATTTTCTCCTAAGACAATCGTTCAACTTACAAAAAACAATTAGTGTATTTTAATCTACAACCAACAATGGTGCATATGACTGACAGAAAGTAATTTTTTTGAAATGTTATGTTACTTAAAACACGGTACATTGTTGAGAGCAAATTGAGACTATATTTTGAGAATCAGTGGGTATTTTCTTTTCAACCAAAACTACAAAACTACTGATTCATTTGAACAGGTCGGAGAGAATACTCGAAATCGGGTATTATCCGTGAAATCGCGTATAATACTCGATATTAGGGTATCGTTGAATCCGCGAAATCGGGTATAGGAGGTGTAATCACCTAATAAAACTTAAACAATGGGATGGCGCATGTTGACGAGTTAACTTTCATCTAGATACACATGTTTTCTAAAGGTATCACTAACCAAGTAAAAATTTGGGCGTCGATTAATGCGCTCGGGACAACAAATACCCGTTGAGCTCAGTACATTTCATGATCTGCGCACAAAAAGGCGTTCGATTTTCTTTATATTTTTCCTTATGTTGAAAGTATATGCATCTTTTTAATGTTCATTCCCAACACAGCAGAATTGTAAAGTATCAGAATTCGGGAATTTATAATAATTCCACATCAACACGACAAACATGAACAATTTGTAAATAAATCAAATTATACGGAAACACATTTCACACACCAGATATGATGCCATGTGTAAATAAGGGATTGTCTATCGTATCTAATTATACGTCATTATTTACTTTCACATTCGTCTTGACATAAAATCAAATTATTTAAGAATGTATAAATAATGTAATGATAAAAATGTCTAAAATTTCGGTTAAAGAACCCCCTTTCTCTTTTTTTTTTTTTTTTTTTTGAAAATCTTTTCTTTTTTATTTATCATTCAAACATATTTGCAGAATATGTCTTCAACATTTTAGCAGAGACAGTGATAGTTTCAGGAATATAGCTTATGAGAGAACATAACTGTTGATCGTTTAATTTCGCTAAGTCATCAATATTTTACCATTTCTTGGTGACTTCAAAGGGGGGGCTAAAGGCTTCTTGACCACCTCTGACAAAACAACCGCGACTGTGTTCTACATCTGTCCAAGAGTCCTCTCTTTGAATGTCACAGTCGGTTAAACTCGTTCATATATTTTTAATCGTAGGGAATATTTATTCATCAAATAAAAAATCATATACATTGTAGGTAAACAAAAAGCAACCTGTTATTTTTTAACACAATATAAGACTACAAGTAACTAGAATTCATGTTTATTTTTCAAACACATTTTTTCATTATAGATGAGTATTAGGAAAAGTTATTGCCATGAGTAATACGTAACTAAAAGAAAACTGTGACATATTGTCTAGAACCAACCAGATAGTGCGTTGTATTAGCATATTATAATGAGGTATAAGATAGCGATATAAAAAAATCAAAGTACTGAAAGTACTGATGGGAGTTGATTATTAAATCAATCGATGTATGATTGATTGATTTATATTGTTTAACGTCCCTCTCGAGAATTTTTGACTCATATGAAGATGTCATCACTTGCCGGTGGAGAACTGCAATTTTTTTTACTTATACTCGGCATCCATTGACCAGAGAGAGGTCTTTTTTTGAGCCAGCACCTACTGCGACCAGGGACCTTTGTTTACACGGTCTCATCCAAAGGACCGGTCTCCAAGTCTTTCGGTGCATGGAATTTGAACCTGAATTCGATGTGTGTAACCTTGCCCACTTTCCAAATTATACTTATATCAATGCCTCTTGATTGAGGCATGTGTTCAAGAAGCAAATGCATAAGTGGATTTCGTGATCTTACAGAGTCAAAGCGGTATGGTTTGTTCTACTGTAAATCACTTTTTATTAGAATTTTATTTCTGCATAACTAAGCAAGACAGTGTAATTTCTCTCTCGCACATATACAAGTACTTTTGACAGTTTTCAAGATATCACCACAATTCGTAAAGAAATATTTTGTCATGCTAGTAAATAGTTACATGTAATGACTATCTCGCGAAAATAAGATGTCTCGAAAATTAAGTGATCTACAGTAATTTGAAAATAGCTTGAACAATAAGCGAAATCTTGTTAGATTAATCGTTTTCCTCACAGACTTCGTCCTTATCTTAGATGAAGGTATAGAACTTCAGTATCTAAGATAAAAAAGTTGTTTTAGGATGAAAATGACACTCAAGACAAATTTGAGAGAAAACGAATGACGCACTCAGTGGGGAAAATGCAATTATCTTAATTTAGGTATGGGGAAATATTAATATGGATAAATATTGACATAACTTGATAAAAATATCATCAAACGATTACGACATCACAATCAATTCATGAATAAGGTGGAAAGCGTTTTTCGATAATTAATGAAATTTAATTGTAGTAAAATAACAAATACAATCTAAATTGGTGATGAGAAAATTAATGGAGCTTTACTTTGAAGGTATTTCACAAATATAGATTTTGGTTCACAATATTCATCTTGTAAAATAGCAATTGTAAAAAGTGTAGGGTTAATCTATCAGATTCAGAAATTACATTTCCTACAGCAAAATTAGTAACAAATTTATACACACCAGGTATTGAGTTTTAAAAAAAATCAGTTGACTTTTTTTCACAGATTGAGCAGGAGTAATTTCTGAAAATAAAGTTTAATAGTTAGGTTGCTTTTTAATAT